ATTTTCCATCATAAGACTTTTGGAGATGACTTAGATCCTTGAATTGCTGAGAAGAGCCAAGCCTGTCAAAGCCAGTCATTGCACAAGTGATTGTTACTGTGTACAATGTGCTCTTGGTTCTGCTCAATTCACTCAGCATCAGACCATACAAGTCTTTCCAGGTTTTTCTAGAGTCTCCCTGCTTATCATTTCTTATAGCACAATAGTATTCCATTACACTCATATACCACAACTTGTTCAGCCATTCCCCAATTGATGGGCATCCCTTCAATTTCCAATTTTCGGCCATGATACAAGGAGCCACTATAAATATTTTTGTATGTGTGGGTCCTTTCCCCATTTTTATGATTTCATTGGGATATATCCCTAGAAGTGTTTTTGCTGAGTCAATGAGCATGCACTTTTTTGTAGCCCTTCGGGCATAGTTCAAAATTGCTCTCCAGAATGGTCACAACTCCAACAATGCATTAGTGTTCCAATTTTCCCACATCTTCACCAACATTTATCATTTTCCTGTTTTGTCATGTTGGCCAATCTGATAGGTGTGATGTGGTACATCAGAGTTGTTTTGATATGCATGAAATATAAGTTCTGGGATGAACAAATGAATCAGTGAAAAGATCGAGAATGTCGGAGAGTACTCTTGGGTTGTCAGAAGTCCAGGATTAGAATGAGCTTCCAGTTTTAGGAGGTTTCTCTGTTATAGGAGAGAAGAACATTGGGGTCAAAAGTGGATCAGTTCTAGGTTTGTTCCTGATAGTTATTCAAATTGTCCTACTGGGCACAGTTAGATTCTCAGATCCCTGAAGAACAGTTTTACCCCCAACGCCACCATGGGAGAGAATCCCCATGTGCTAAACTATGTGATCTAGGATCCAGTTTTCAAAGCACAAGATAAAGTTTTTTAGCTGTGTAACTCACAGCTTTTTTTGACCTTCCATGTTTTTTGACATATGAGATCACTGAATGTGCAACAGGGGACTTGGATCTTGAACGAGTTCCCTAAATTAGATAGAAGAGACATTGAGAGTTGGATCTGTTACAGTGATGAAACTTCTATGACTCCAGGCAGCCCGGAGACAGAGGACACTGCTTACTGAGCAGAGTTTATAATTCACATTCCCAATTAGCTCCCAAATGCTTGGCAGGTGCATTTTGCCAGCTGTTTGTGTCTCTATGCAAATACTGCTTCATAGGAAGGCCTGCTGGGCTCCTCTGGGTTTGTGACAAAACAAGTCCTCTATGGGGGTGAACATTTACAATTGAGTCTTGCCTTTTAATGCTCCGATCAAGGAAAAATTAGCAGCTGGAACTCCAACCCCTCTTAAAATCCTAAGGCTTGATGATCAGACACTTCTATAAGAATTAATGGTGGTAGAGAGGAGCCAGCCACCACATGCAAAAATTTCACCTGCCATACTGGTCTCCATCATCCGTGGGACCCATTTGTCTTCAGTGGCAATGTCACAGGCTGTTCTTTTGGGAAAGCTGGAGTGCTTCACACAACATCCAGAGTACTTATGGAAATTTCATCTTGGAATATTCCCTCAGTGGTATTTGGCGAAATTAATTCTAATGCCAATCCTAAATTTCCAATCCAGTTAATCATCCCCCAGGGTTTATCTGTCCCTTAGAATCAGTTAGATAATATAGGTGGGACACATCTACAAGCAAGAATTTAGGGCCCTAACATTCTTATAACAAACTAAAGCTTGGACAACACCACATGATTCTCCCTCTGCTCAGCAGAGGTGAGAGAAGAGAGGGGCCTCAGGGAATCAAAAGAAAAGTCAGTGTTTGTGGTAGTAGGGAGTGTGGAAAATAATGGGTCAAGACCTTTGGAGTAGACGTCCCATCACTACTATTAAGTAGCTTATTACTTGAAAGGACTGTTCTTGCTAACTAGGATCTGACTTGTTTCTAATGCTACCTTTGGCCCTGTTTTCTTCTTCCTCTGTCTTACTTCAATCTGTGGTTTCATCAGCTCTCATGGATTTGATTACCACCTTTATTCTGCTGATTCTCAAATGTATCTTTCATACCCCAATCTTTCTGCTGAGCTGCAATCTGGCATCTCCAATTCCCTTCCCAACATCTTGATCTGGGTGTCAAGTAAACGTATTAAACAAAATATGTACAAAACAAAATTCCCCTAAACCCTCCCCCACCACTTCATCTTCCTTATTTTGGTAGTGAACATCATCTTCCTCCCCATCTCTCAGGCTTGGAACATAAAGGTTTTTCTGGTTTGTATACTATCTCTCACTATCCATATCCAAGTTGTTGCCAAGACCTGCCAATTTCACCTTTGCATCATCTCTTCAATACTTAACCTCTATCCTGTGACTCTGCCCTCACTCTTGGTCAGACCCTCATCACCATGCATAAATTATCGCAATATCCTGTTGTGGGGGGTTTACCTGCCTCAAGTCTCACCTAATGCCAATCCATCCTCTATTCAGTCATTAAACTGATTTTCCTAGCGTGCAGTTGCAGTTATGTCACCCCCTACTCAATAAACTCTAATGGCTTATTTGTACTTCCAGGATAAAATATAAAATGCTCTGTTTGACATATTCAGAACTCTTCATAACCTAGCCTGCTCCTACATTTCCAGTCATTTTATACCTTGCTCCCAGACATATCCTCTTTGATCCACTGCCACTGACCTTCTGCCTATTTTTTGAACCAAGACACTTCATCTCTCAGCTCCAAACATTCTCTGTTGCTATTCACCCATGCCTGGAAAGGTCTCCACCCTCTGCTCTGACTCCTGACCCCACTGACTTTTTTTAAGGCCCAACTAAAATTCTGCCTTCCACAGAAACCTTCCATAAACCTTCTTAATTCTAGTGCCTTCCCTTTATTATTTATTTCCTATTAATGTAATATATAGTTATATTTGTTTACATCCTCTCTCTCCCCCATTAGAGTGTAAGTCCCTTGATGGCAAGGAATGCCTTTTGTTTCTTTTTTTAATCACAGGGGTATAGTGTAATGTCTGGAATATAACCTGCACTTAATGTATACTGTGTGTGCCCACTAATTTCGGCATCCTATCCTATTCAAATCCTGCTTATCTTCTCCTGCTGTGCCTCTCAGTGGGGCATATGGAAACGCAAGATTAGCCTCTATCATCACCTCTGAACTAGCTTTTCAGGAGACATGGCAGCTATTTTCCAACATTATATATTTTACCTACTCTAAATACGGAATGTACAAGCTGAATGCTCTTAATATGTAGAGGATCAAAATGGCCAAAATAGGCCTTTCGAACATGTAGGATAAAAAAACAGTCACATTAATGTGAGAGTCACAAATATTTCAAGATGTCAGAGAGGCTTAATTCTATCAAATGAGGCAGATGATTTATTTATTTACTTAAAATAGAATTCATTTTTTTTCCTCAGGAATTCCTAAATAACCCTGTATCCTACAGAGGGTACATAGAATGGGTAAGGTCTTTGCTGATAAGGGAAACTGAAATATTGCTCATTTTCAGATTCATCTGTAGCGGATACTGTCACAACAAAGCCCTCATTGCTTCCTAATAGACAGGAAATATAAATTAACAAACTTTTGAGATTCAATTTAGGGCCAAAAATCTTATTCAAAAAACTTGCTATTATCTCCCAAGCTTTGAAGAAGGACCTTGATGAAGCCCAGGTAGTAATAGTATTTGGTGTGAAGACTTACATAAAAATCTCCAGTGGCACCTCAACAATGAGGCAAGTGGGAACGTGTCCAACCACTTGAAGTTTAGATGCCCTTGACAGCTGTAAACTCCTCCAGGAGATTATACATGCCTGACCTTAGCACCTATTTCTAAAGAATAGGAGGATAGCACCATTTGTCAGCCTTCTTCACTTTACCCTACACCCCAAGGGTTGCCCTCTGGTTGATCTCACCTATGGTGTAATCCCATGATATTTTCCCTCCCTCACCCCTGTTAACAGTCTTGTCAATAGAAGTTTCACAGTGTTCTAGGGCCTTCATCCATGGGAGTATGATTCCCTAGCATCTTTACACTCGTGAATCAATTTGCCTTTTAAACTTTATTTGAGAGTGAAGTGTCACATGACCTGACATAAATTTTTGGAAGCTATAAAAATTTTCCACAATTTATAATTGGTGCTTTTATAAAAACATTTTTGCTTCTCCATATTTTCCCTTTCAAAAAATGATCATAAATTCTCACTAAATCAAATGTGATTCTCTGAAACAGGCAGTAATAGTTTCATGTAGATTGATATACTAATCAAGAGGCTTTTACCTTACTAACCATCATCCCAGAGGTCATGCTTTTAAAATTAAATTTCTTGGCTCTTTTAAAATTAAATTCATAATTTGAAAAAGAAACAAGTGAACAAAGTAGTCAAGTCCCCAGGTTTGGCACTGACATTGTAGCTGTATAAGAAATCCACCTGCACAGGAGGCAGGCCCAGGCTCATCATTCTCTTTTAGTGTAGCTCCATCACTCTATTAGTGTGCCGAGAATAATTTATCCTCCTATACCTGATTCAGGGTTCCCTCTGGAATGCATCAGCAATGAGAAAAAAACACTGAGTGTCATTGTCTGTTTCATGCTCCATTTGCCAAAATGCCTCATGATTCTAACAATATTCACTTGGCAAGTCACTGATAGAAACAGCCGGTGATTGATACAGGGTGTCATTTTTCACTTTTCTAAAGCAAAGAGATTGCCTAGAGATTTCTGTCTGTATCCTGATCATAATTGTGTATACTCTTTCCTATTTTAAGTTATCTTGCATCAAAAACTAACCTGTTATATTTAAAGAAGGTCAATTTAGTATTGTTAATAAAAACATTCCTACCCTTTCTAGAAATGCGTATGCATGCTTCTAAACTGTTGGGTGAAAGTAAAGAGACCTCATAGTTTTATGAAAGATAATTGAAATATTTCCTCAAGTCTTTCAGCAACTGAAGCTGTGAGTGCCTTCAAGTCATTCCAGGTGCACTAATTAAGTATTCTCTTTCAGGTGACACATGCACCATGTCTGACTACAACCGTCTAAAGCACATCCTCCTAGACCTTGAAGCCCAACGCCATACCCACAGCAGAGTCCCTGGTCCAGACTCATCATCCCAGAAGCATTTCCTTGTGGAATCTCTGTTTAAGTACTTAGATTACAATGGCAATGGATACCTCAGCAGTTCTGAACTGACTCAGGTCAGTATGTTATTTAGCTCAGAAAAGCAATTGAATTATAAAGGCAATAACATTTTTTACTCAATGTGTAAATGAAATATAACACAGTTGAATTCTACTGTGAATGGAAAATATTGACTATCTGTCTCATTAGTGTTAAGCAGATATAGAAATCCATCTTGGAAATGGTGTTCCTTCTATTTTTGCTCCCAGATGTTGGCAATCTTTCATTTAGATCAGTTCAAAATATTATCAAAAACAAAATTATGTATATTGCTTCATTCTACCAACCACCCACAGTTGTTACTTGCAAACAAGCTCTAAAGCCTTCCCTGCTAGCTTGCAAAATACAAACTTCAGAGTGGTTCTCAAGAGCTTTAATTAGGAAAGGAACTCCTTTCTTCCTCAAGTCCTTTCCTCCTTATGGAAATAATGCTGGAATAAATAATAGTTTGGTTCCTTCTCCTCCACTTTGTACTTACTGACAGGCACTTTGTCAGAGAAGTCAAATATGATAAACTGCAGACTCTTACCTTTAATTACCAATTCCTGACCTTTTGAATTCATTGTGATGGTAGTACTAGAGACAGCAAAGCGAAGAACAGTAGAATGCCCTTCCTTAATGTAGAGATTAAGCTGTTTCTGAATTTGTTTTGGTAGTATAATACAATGGAAATAACACTGCATAATGACTGCAGAGCTCTGTCTCTGTTACAATTTTAATGTAGTATCCTCTCTTTAAACTTTAATTTCCTCCTTCATATGATCACCATAGACCTAGAGGTGGGTCAGAAGTTAGAGGTCATTAATCCAAAATCTTCATTTTACAGAGGAGGAAACTAAGTCACAGAGAAATTAAAATAGTAGTACTAATAACCAGTATTCATATAGGGCTTATTATATTACAGATAATATTCTAAGTCTTTTATAAATATTATATTATTTGATCCTGAGTTGAAAACTGGGAGTAGGTGCTATTTGTTATTTTTGTTATTCAGTCACGTCCAACTCCTCGTGACCCCATGGAGCATAGCACACTAGACCCTTCTAGCCTTCATTGTCTCCTGAAGTCTGTCTAAGCTCATGTTTGTTGTTCCCATGACACTATCTGTCCATCTCATCCCCTGTCCTCTCCTCTTTTTGACTTCAATATTTCCCAACATCAGGGACTTTTCCAATGAGACTTATCTTTTCACTAGGTGGCCGAAGTATTTAAGCTTCAGCTTTAGCATATGTCCTTCCAATGAATAGTCTGAATTAATTTTTTTCTGAAGTACTTGATTCCTTTGATATCCTTGCTATCCAAAAAACTCTGAAAAGTCTTCTCTAGTACCACAATTGGAAAGCATTGATTCTGAGGTGCTAGGCTTTCTTTATAGTCCAACATTCAGTGCCATACATTACTACTGGAAGAAACATAGCTTTGACTATATGGACTTTTGTTTGCAAGGCCATGTATCTACTTTTTAGTATGCTGCTCAGAGTTGCTAATAACTTTCCTTCCAATAATAAGTACTATTATTATCCCTAACTTATAGTTGAGAAAACTCAGACAAACAGTGATTAAGTAATTTTCTCATAGTAGCACAGTGAGTAAAAATCTAATTCCATATTTGAACTCATGTATTTCTGCCTCCCAGCCAAGTGGTCTATCCACTGCACCTCATTCTGCCCTGAGGTCAAACACCCAATATGTTTCTAAGGTAGGTTTTGATGTCAGGTCATCTTGACTCCCAAGTAAATTGCCTTAACCACTATACCACAATTTCTTTGACTGAAGGGTAGTAATATGGGAGGAAAACCTTTTAGCCAATTTAGACAATTATGAAACAGAGTTATGTCTTAAACTGTCCTTGAGTATCCTTGAACCTTCACTGACATTACTTACAGGATAGGATCTTTAAATGGTAACTCACAGTTGTCTACCACTGGGCAATTTTCTATGGAGTCATGTTCATTATCTCATTTGATACTCACAATGAGATAGTGAATGAGTCAGAGTGGCATCAGGAATCCAAGTACCAGAGAGCCAGAGATGAACAGTGATTTGCCCTTGTCAGAGGTCTTAAAAGTTTACTGAGTATCAAGCATACTCGTTTTGTGTAGGGAATAAAATAAAATTCATCTAAAAGCTGAATCTCAATTTGTCCATTATGTGAGATCATTTTCTTAAAAGAAGAATTGTTCCTCTTGTTTCTATGTTTCCATTGAGAGTTAAGGATTCCTACTGATCGCATAAAGAAAAACAGGCTGTTTCTTGCTCAAAATAAATGACTGCCAAGAATGAGTAACTAGGAAAGCCAGATTTCACTTCCAACACGAGAGATGCCTTCATTGAGCAGCTCACCCTATGGAATAAAAGAAATTTCCTCCTTTTGGAAAGAAGATTCCATCTATAAGCATGGCCATTGTAATGCTATTTCCTGTTTAAAATTTAACATATTGAAAACCACTTTTATAAATCTCTAGAATATAATGCAGCTAAATTATACTACATCAGTTGGGCTTTTTCTTAATAATAAATCAAACAACCCAGTAAAAATGTGTCAGTCTTGTGGATAGTAAATCAATTCTCAATAAAAAGTATATTTCCTTCTGTCCAAGATTGATCTTGAAATATATGGTTTCTTTCACTTTCGTAGAAACCTTTTTACTTGCTGCATAAAGTTTGTTTGTTTATTTAGTTTCGTTACCTTAAATCGTCTTTAATTTAAATGGCCAAGATGAGAATAATAACTAAATTTTTAAAAAGTTTCCTCATTCCTAACAATTGTTTTTACTTCTCAGAATTCAGTTGCATATTGGAGTCAGGTTAAACTAGCTGTCAAGTATATAAACATTTATACCTCTAAAATCAGTAAATTATTTCAGTCAGCGCTTGATTAATTGTTTTCATGATATCTAGACCTAAGAAAATCATGAAGAAAATTTTCAGTGTGTAAATTATACTTTAAAACTTGTTGAACATATTTATATTAACCTGGAGAGCTTGTTGTGGAATATTCTTAATCATACTACTGACAAGAATGACGTATAATACATGGAGAATCGAAGGAGAGAGTATCTTCCTAATTAATTATGAATTTTTGACTGACTGAAAATATACTGGTGTTGGCACCTAATTCAATATTTCCTATTACACAGAAATCATTACAAGAAATAATTTTTATCCTCTTAGTAAATTCTGGTGCCAAGCAACCTCATTTCCATCTCTTACCTTTTACTATTACTAGAACTTTTGAGCTTTAACCTATGATCAAAATATGGATTAATTTGCTTTTCAGGTCAATCTCACATCCTTCAATTTCTGTTACAGAGTAACTAGGGGCTCAAGAATCCCTAAAAGTAATACGTATTTTGGGAAGGCATAGCCTAAGCCCTTTCACCTTTGGACCATAATGGGTCTTTGTGTCTCAAGATTTATAGCTAAAAATAAGACCAACAAAAACACTATGAAAACATTTTTGTCTTATCAAACTGGAAGATGAGCCCCAGAGCATTGCCAAGGCTCTCCTAAGGCCAAAGAGACAGCAGAGCCAGAATCCTAAATCTCATCTACCAGAAAAAATGGTGTGCAAATTGGTGTCGTGCAATAGGAAAATCCCCATCCTACTTCCTCCCAAGTGGTATTCTTTTTTATTATTCATATTTTGCCATTCAGAATTATCTGGTTTTTGGGGTGGAGCCAAGATGGTGGAGTGAAAGCAGTGACTTGTTTGAGCTCTCCCCCAAACCCCTCGAAATACTCATAAAAAATGGCTCTAAACAAATTCTGAAGCAGCAGAACCCACAAAAAGACAGAGTGAAACAAATTTCCAGCCCAAGATAACCTGGATGATTGATCAGAAGGGTGTATCGCGCTGGGCTGGGAGTGCAGCGCAACATGACGGGGGCACGCAGGCTGCAGCGAACCTGGAGCAGGCCTCAGAGGACTGAATCATGGGAAGCTGTGGAGGTTTCCAGACTCCTCAATCCAAGAATGCCAAAGACAACTTAGAAGGTCAGTGGGAAAAGTCTGTTTCTGCCAGTGCTCAGAGAGGAAGGCGGGGTCTCAGCTCCATTCCCCAAGAGCCTGGCCCTGGGCGGGGCAGCTGCTTCCCGAGCTTCCAGCCGACAGACTGAGGGGGAATCCAGTGGCTGATCAGAGAGGGATTGCAGGGATCTCTTTGCCAGTGCTGAGGCAGGAATCTCTTGCTTTGCCCGTGTTTGGATGTGGGTCACAGTTCTGGGCGGCGGTGCCAGGGTGAGGAGGAGCACTGGCATGGTGGAGCTTGTAGTGGCTGTGGAGAGGAACCCCTCCTCACAGTTACAGGACAAAAAGGAATACTTCTGGTCACATGCCAGGAAAGGAGTAAACACCGTGCCCCTTATCATACCACCTTGGAAGAACTGAAAATTTCAGGTCCCTACAAGTATCTCTGAAAACAGCTGTACAACCCCTGAAGCTTGGGACAGTACACTCTCCACATTGGAAGCAGACTGTTTCCTTAACAAAGAGTTTAAAATTCAAGTAATTGGCTGGGATCATGAGTAAGCAGTGCAAAAAGAGTCAGACCACATTATCTTACTTTGGTGAAAAAGAACATCAAAATATACAACCAGAAGAAGACAACAAAATCAAAGCTCCTACATCCAAAGCCTCCAAGAAAAATATGAATCAGTCCCAGGCCTTGCAAGAGCTCAAAAGGGATTTTGAGAAGCAAGTAAGGGAAGTAGAGGAAAAACTGGGAAGAGAAATGAGAGTGATGCAAGGTAATCATGAAAAACAAGTCAACAGCTTGCTAAAGGAGACCCAAAAAAATACTGAAGAAAATAACACCTTAAAAAACAACCTAACCCAAATGGCAAAAGAGGTCCAAAAAGCCAATGAGGAGAAAAATGCCCTAAAAAGAAAAATTGGCCAAATGGAAAAGGAAGTCCAAAAGCTTACTGAAGAAAATACTTCCTTAAAAATTAGAATAGAGCAATTGGAAGACAGTGACTTTATGAGAAATCAAGACACTGTAAAACAAATCCAAAAGAATGAAAAATTAGAAAACAACATGAAATATCTCATTGGAAAAACAACTGACCTGGAAAATAGATACAGGAGAGATAATTTAAAAAGTATTGGACTATCTGAATGCCCTGATCAAAAAAAAAAAAAGAGCCTAGGCGTCATCTTTCAAGAAATTATCAAGGAAAACTGTCCTGATATTTTAGAACTAGAAGGCAAAATAGAAATTGAAAGAATCTGCAGATCTCCTCCTGAAAGAGATCCCCAAAGGAAAACTCCTAGGAATATTGTATCCAAATTCCAGAGTTCCCAGGTCAAGGAGAAAATATTACAAACTGCCAGAAGGAAACAATTCAAGTACTGTGGAAACACAATCAGGATAACAAGATTTAGCAGCTTCTCCATTACAGGACCCCAGGGCATGGAATATAATATTCCATGGGACAAAGGAGATAGGATTGCAACCAAGAATCACCTACCCAGCAAAACTGAGTATAATCCTGCAGGGGAAAAAATGGTCATTCAGTGAAATAGAGGACTTTCAAGCATTCCTGATGAAAAGACCAGAGCTAAACAGAAAATTTGACTTTAGAATACAGGACTCCAGTGGAACATGAAGAGGTAAACAGGAAAGAGAAATCATAAGAGACTTATTAAGATTGAACTGTTTACATTCCTGCATGGAAAGATGATATTTGTAACTGATGAGAACTTTGTCAGTATTAGGGTAGTTGAAGGAAAAAAAATTGTATGTATGTATATATATAAATAGATAGATAGAGGGCACAGGGTGAGTTGAAGATTAAGGGGTCATATCTGGAGAATAAAATTAAGGGATGAGAGAGGATGATACTCGGAGAAGAAAGGGATAGGTAGAATGGGATAAATTATCTCACAAAAAAACAGAAAAGTCTCTCACAGTGGAGGGGAAACAGTGGAAGGTGAGAGGGAATGAGGGCTTGAGGAGAGAATAACATACACATTCAATTGGGTATGGAAATCTGTCTTACCCTACAGGAAAATAGGGGTAGAAGGGGACAAGAAAGCAGGGGGGTGATAGAGAGGAGGGCAGAGTGGGAAAGAGGGTATTCAGAAGCAAATACTTCTGAGGAGAGACAGGATCAAAAGAAAGAATAGAATAAATGGGAGGGCAGGATAGGATTAAGGAAAATAGAGTTAGTTTTTCACAACATGTCTACTAAGGAAGTGTTTTGCATAACTGCACATGTACAACCTATACTGAGTTGCTTGCCTTTTCAATGAGGGTGGGTGGGGAGGGAGGAAGGGAGAAAATTTGGAACTCAAAAGTTTTGAAAACACGTTTTAAAAAAAAAATGTTTTCACATGCAACTGGGAAATAAGAAATACAGGAAATGGGGTATAGAAGTCTATCCTGCTGTACAGGAAAATAGAAGGGGAAGGGGATAAGAGAAGTGAGGTGGGAGAGATAGAAGAGAAGGCAGACCAGGGGAAGGGGTATTCAGAATGCATGCCATCTTGGGTTGGGGGGAGGGGTGAGAAATTTGGAACTCAAAAACTTGTGGAAGTGAATATTGAAAACTAAAAATAAATAAATTTATATTAAAAAAAGAATTATCTGTTTTCTCTTTGCAACTTTCCTTTTTCCTCCTCATTATTAATTGAATAAAAGTAAAGAAAATGAAAACCATAATTAAAAAATGCATATTCAATCAAATAATACTCCCACATTGGCCATGTCTACAAATGTATATTTTATTCTTTATTTTAAGTTCATCGCCTCCCTGGTGTGAAACAACAACTCTGTTTTATCTCTTGTCCTCTTCAGTGGAAAGCTACTTAAATTTCGAACAAAATACCCCCCCCCCGGAAAATTGTTATAATATGTACAGTAAGATGATGATGAATTAAAAAATGTTAAAGGATCAAAGGATTAAAATAAGGGATTTGCTCTGACAAGAATTCTTGATATTCTTATATGTTATTCTTTCAATAAATATTCATTAGGTCCCCACTGTCATCCTATCCAGTTGTGTTTCAGATTTGTATCTTCTTATGCTTGTGTGAGAAAAGTACAAAATTAGATAAGCTATTGATTCTGCCCACTTGGAGAAAACTTTTATAATGAAATGCATTCTATTTGGAGGAAATGACCAAAAACCAGGTGGCTATAGCTCATAATATGAATAGTGTAAATAAAAATTGTTTACCACAATAAGAATTGTGGTAAACAACAAATAGGATTAGTGTTACGGAGGAAGAAGACGATTTCTTCTTCAATGACAGTGACATGGGTAAGGTATATGCGTGGTGCCACTGAGAATGTTTGACACCTTCAGGACAAGAGCTGATCAAATTCACACCTGAAGGTCTTCATCCTATTCTTTACATATGAAGTTATACAACCTACTCTTAAGTGTTCTATGAATAAAGGGTGATTTGCAATTTATTTCTTGTATCTCAAATTCTGTTTTTTAGGTAGCATGTTGTGGTGGAAAAAAAGACCTGTCCTTGGCATTTGAGAGATCGGGGTTTAAGCTCTGCACTTCCTCCAACAAAATGTCTAGCTTTGAACAAATCCTTGTCTCTGAAATTTTTCTTCCTATGTAACCGGACCCTGTGCCGACTTCTATTCTGACATATTAGTTTCATAAAGCTTTATAAGTGCCTCTGGAGAGATCCTTGAAATCCTTATGAGGAAGAGGTCTTTGAGATGCTTGCCATTTTGTATGTGTATAGTGTTGTGTGTGTACTCTGGCTTCTCTTGGTTGGGTATTTAATTCCCTTTCCCTCTTCTTGATGTTTTCCATGATGTTCCTATTCTCTCTGTGATATGCTCTAAACGTGTGTACCTTTGTTTTCTGTTTCCAATAGCTTATGAAGGAGGAACCCCTGGAAAATGACTTTCTCGGCTGTTCACTAGAAGACCTACTCCGATTTGATGACTACAACAATGATGGTTCCCTCAGTTTGCAGGAGTTCTACACCACCTTTCGTAAGTCAAACTCTACTCTGGGAGTATGATCAGAGTGAACAGTGAATTTAAATGAAAATATCCTTTCATTCCAACACTACCAACATCTTTTCCAAGTGCAATGAGTTGTACTTAATATCTTCCTTTGTGGCCTAGTGATTATTGTTTTTATTAGTATTCATAAAAGTGGCTGAATTGACCTTTCACATAGGAAAATCGTCAAGAAATATCTCTAGGTTACAGAAGCATAGCCTGCTTCTGATTGTATTGCTGATCTGTTGCTACCTGGAGGCTCTTACTTGTGATACTTTTTAATGCTTCCTGAAGAATGGCTTTAGGTGTCACACTGTGGAGAGTTTACTATGACATCCTGGAAAGGTTATCACTGTCTCTTTTCATGTATTAAAACTGAAGTTATCTGTGAGTGGGGAATATCTGTGATGGAGCACAGAAGGCAGAGCATCATTTCCATCTAGCTCTCGAAAATGAGCCACACAAAAAGGCGCTCAAATGTGTTCTAAGCCTAAGGTGGAGATTCCTAAACAAGATGAGTTAATCTATTTTGGATTTGAAGATATTTCTATTTGTTAAAATACTGAGGACTTTTCCATTGCGGCTAAAGCCTTATACAAGTAGTCAAGGGGTACATTAACACAGCGATTCCTATTATATCCACAACCACCAGTAAATATGGGACATGGATGCAAAATACAAAGCAATTTTTGATTTATTTGAACTGAGTAAGCAGTTAGTGTCACCCCTTTCCTTTCTCAGCTTTCCCTTCTAGTTACTTGTTCTTTGTGTATCCCTATATACACCCACCTTGATATATTGAAAGCTTCTCTTGCAGAAGAATGTTGTTTTTTTTTTATGAGTCATTATCATTCCAATCATTCTTAATGAAACTGGTAAGGATTCAGAAAGAATGAAATGTTAACAATAAGCTACAGCAGAAAATAAAAATTGTAATTACCCAAAATAAGCAAAACAGAAATTAATGTAACTCTTTTTGTGAGACTGGAATAAGTTTGTGGTCTTGTTTTATGAGTCTTTGAGTATATGGGAATTGTATAAATGCTTGAGAGAGAACTTGGTGTAGTTAATAAAGTGCCAGGCATGATTGATTGAGGAATATTTGGGTATAATTTCTCCATATAACATATACTGACTATGTTATCATGGTCAAGGCTCCTTAATCTCTTTCTCACCTCGGCAATTCTTTATAATTTACAAATGAATTTCTGATCTGCAGCGGTAGGTGGAATCCCGAAACTCTCAGTTCTGCATCTGTTTGAAACACAAATCAGGAATAAAAAAATCCAAATGCTTATAGGGAGATAATGTTTTTCAAGTACATAACATAACCATAAGCTTTTCTTATTCATTCCTCAGTTTCCAACGTTCACATTATATTGTGCTTATCAGCTCCTTGTTTGACCATTTCTGAATAAATCTATCTTTTGCAGGGTATCCTTTATTGGTGTATATATGTATACACATGTGCATCTACATGTATCACTACATAGATAGATAGATAGATAGATAGATAGATAGATAGATTGTTGTTATTCTGTCATTTCAATCATGTCCATTTCTTCATGACCCCTTTTGGGTTTTCTTGGCAAAGACACTTGAGTGGTTTGCTATTCCTTCTCCACCTCATTGTACAGATGAGGAAAGTGAGCCAATCAGAATCAAGAGACTTGCCCAGTGCCACACAGCTAGTATGTGTAGCCAGATTTGAACTCAGGAAAATGAGTCTTCCTGCCGCTATCTCCAGTACTCTATCCACTGTGCCACCTAGCTGTGTATGTGTATATGTTTATACACACACACACACACACACACACACACGTTTATTTATGACTTCATTTTTTCAGCTACTGTTATCTTCAAGTAGCTTTAATCTCTTTTTATGTACATTCTTGCCCTGTTTCATGTCCTCTTTACCACTTAACCACACCCTCATATTCTCCCATCATTACTAATGTTTTACCATGGTTTGTACTACTTGATAAATTTAGGTACTCACCAAGGGTGAGAAATCGCACCTTTCCTCTGTATACTCTGTCTGCTTGAGAAGAGATCTCTGAAGATGCAGCCCTGTTTTAAATGAAAATAGCATTATATAACAAGATGAATATGCTTGCAGAGATCTTTTTTTTTAAGTTTTATTGATGTCTTTTAATTTTATGCCCCTTTTACATCTGAACCCAATAAACCCATTCTTTTAACAAAGGGCAATTATGTAGTAAAACTGATCTCTATAATGACTTTTTAAAAAAATAAATGTTCTAAGAGATATTCCTCAATAGATATTTGGTCAAGGCATAGGAACTTGCAGTTTACAAAGGAAGAAATCAAAGCTATCAATAATCATATGATAATACGCTTTATATTATGTTAATAGAGAAAGGTAAATTCAAACACATCTCTGGTACCACTTCATTCACATCAAATTGGTTAAGATGACAGAAATGGAAAATAATAAAAGGTTGAATGACTGTGTGAAATTAGGCTCACCTGTTCACTGTTTATGGAGCTGCAAACTAGTTTCAGCCATTCTGAAGAACAATTTGAAACTATAGTCAAATGGCCATAAAACTGTGCAAACACTGTTACTGAGTAATACCATAATTGAGTCTATACTGTAAGTAGATGGCCAAACTTCTTAAAGAAGAAAAGGGACCCACATGTGCTAATATATTAAGAACATCTGTTTTTGTGGTGTCAAAGAATGGGAAATTGTAAAGCTGCCCCTCAGTTGGAGAATGACTGAAGATTGTGATGGAGTACTTTTATGAGAGTAAGAAGCAGGTAGATTGCTCAATGGATAGTTCACCAGGCCTGGAATTAGGAAGAAACATCTTCCTGAGTTCAAATGTGGCCTCAGACTAGCTGTGTACCCCTAGACAAGTCACTTAACCTCCTTTAACTCAGTGTCCTCACTTGTAAAATGAGCTGGAAAAGAAATGGCAAACCACTCTAGCATCTTTTCTGAAAAAGCTCCAAATGAGGTCACCAAGAGTCAGGCATGACTGAAACAACTGAACAACAAGCATTGTGATATTTGAAAGTACAAAGACAATTTTTTTTTCAGAAAAACCTTGGAAGATATGTTAAGTGATACAATGTGAAGTGAGGAGAACCAGCAGAATTATATATGCAGTAACAGCAATAGTGTAAATTTTTCAACTGTTAAAGACAGAGTAATTGATAAATACAGTGATCTACTGCAATACTAAAGTGCTCATGATGAAAATTGATATCCATCCTCAAAAAGGATACTGATGCACTCAGAGTACAGACTAAAGGATCACTTTTTCCTTTCTAATTTTTCTCATGGTTTTTTTTTGTCTTCATGTGTCTAACGCAGAAATATGTTTTACATTTTTTAACATTTTTAATAAGTATAGTATTTGCTGAGTGGGGTATGGTGGCAAGGGAATGAGAAAATTCAGAGCTAAAAAGGAAGAGAAAATTTTAAAAAAGAATAAAAAGTGAATTGTGTAACTTTTCTCCCAATAGTTTCTATTAAGATTGCTGAGGAGATATATTTCATCATCTGTTGTCCAAGATTGATATTGACTATTATAGGAAATCAGATTTGACCTACCAATTATTGTTGTCATTAACATTATTGGACTTATTTCATGCTATTCTCTGGAGTCTACTTAGTTCATTCTTCATCAGTTCATATATAGGTCTTATTTGGAATTGCTCTCATTTCGTTAGTCATCAATTCTTATTGCATAATAATATCCTAATAACTTTATATGCTACAATTCTTTTAGCCATTCTCTAAATAATAGGTAGTTACATTGCATCTGGTTTTTTCAGTAAATTTAATGTATTGTCATGCTTTTCATCAGTTGGTCCTTTCTGTCTTTCACCTTCTCAGGGCTTTTGCCTAATAATGTGATGTCTGGGTAAAGAGGTAAAAATTGGGTCACTACTCAAATAAAAAGTATTGGAGAAGGGATTCAGAGCGTCTTCTTTGCCTGTACTTACAGGTAATGTACCCAGATTCTATCTTAAATGTTCCCATGATGGTAGCCTCTGGAGATAACATTACTTAGGACTGACTAAATCACAATATCTTCTGATTTTCAAATTAACAGTTTAACTCACAGAGCATTTCTGGAGAATCAAAGAGACTTCCCTTTCATAAAATACAGCAACACAAGAAAAGGTCAAGAAGAGAATGTATTATTGCAGCCAATCTCATAGTTATAAAATGGTATCTCAAGGTTTTTTCAATTAGAATTTCTCTAATCAAGAATAATTTGGAGCATTTTTCATATGACTATAAATTGATTTGATTTCTTCATTGAGAAACTGCCTGTTTGTATCCTTTGGCCATTCATTGATTGGGGAATGACTCACATTCCCATATATTTGACAAAATTTTCTGTGTGTTTCAGATATGAGACCCCCATATGAGAAACTTTCTATAAACAATTTTCCAAGGGGGTGAAGTAGAAGGGAGGGCAGATTAGGGGAAAGGGTATTCAGAATGCACGCTATCGTGGGATTGGGGGAGGGACAAGATGGGGAGAAAATTTGGAACTCAAAATCTTGTAGAAGTGAATGTTGAAAACTAAAAATGAATAAATCAATGGACAAAAAAATAAAAAGGAATAAACTTTAAAAAAATTTCCCCAATTTTCTGTGTCTTTAGTGCTGGAGGGAGGAGTAGGAAATAAGAAAATTACATGATAACTTTATTATATAGTTAAAGGGAGTAGCAAGTTGTACATAATAGATTTGCATCTTTTTTTATTCTACTATGTCATGGAAATTCTTGTGTTATTTCATAAATTAAAAATAAATTTTAAAAAGTGACTGTATGCCTTCCTGAGCAACAGTCACAGTTGACTAGGTATAAAATTGAAAATCAAATATTCTTTGATAAACAAAATTTTATTTAGTTTCTGACAAAGGTCAAACACAATTCTCACTCCTCTCAATAACAAGACAATTATTAAACCATACTTATTTTCAAAGATTTTACCACTTTT